CTTTCTGAAGCTTTGAGTGTAAAGTTGTGGAATAAAGAAAAATAAACCTTGTTTGTTTTTTAAATTCTAACACCAACATGTTATGAGTCCAAATCATGACTTGGTTTATATGTGTTTTCTGGGGTCAACCTGTAACAAGCATAACCAACCATATCCTAAAAATGTCAAATGATTTAATATTTTAAAGATTTACTAACTTGGCACACAGCAGTCATGGTCATCAGGGTTTTTTCCTCTGTCATATCATTTCTTGTTGCGTGGTCTTCTTGGCCAGGTCTTGATTTTATTCTCCAGAGGCTTCCTGGTTAAATAAAAATAATGCAATAAAACTTTTGAACAGTGACAACACCAACATGACACGTTAAGAGGTTCATGTGACTCACAATAACACAAATAAATTATAATGTTCAAAGTAAGAGTGGCCGATTGCTTATAATGTATACTGATGCCAAACGACAGCAGTTGATCCACAAACTATTCTGCCAAAACTGGTTAGAACCAAAAAAGGTGTGCAGGTAACTTCTACCTTGACTTGACAACGTTCACCTTTTTAAATTTCCTTAACAGTGACTCATGCTGCTCCTGTAGGAGATTACCAACAGAAATTCATTGTATTAAAAATGAGGCATCTTAAACTTCTTCAAACTTTAAATTGAACAAATCTGACCAAAAAAGGTAGTCAAATGTCATAACAACTCTTTACAACTTCACACTTTCAGGCCAAACACACACATGTCACAGACAGACTTTATTTATTATATGTTTGTATTTACTTTGAACATCCATAGAGGGGGTGCACCGTTCCTGGAAGTACTGCAATACCAGGTCGATGCGTGGAGTGGACGGAGCAAGCCCCTATTCCATCTCCCTGTTCCAAAAATCAATTTAATATATGGTCCCCGGGTAGGGGACGTATCAGATATTAAACTGATAAGAACAGATACTACACTTGATCTTAGCCAAAAGGCCGAGAAGCGATACCGGGAACACGTCGGAGGAAACCACCTCGTTCTCCGCACTGTCAATCTAACTCCTGGTTTGGAAAATAAAAACTACAGACAAATTACACATTTTACCTCGTCATACAAAATACTAACGATGTACGACGACATCGTGTAACACTGCTGTTGTTTTGTTGCGCTAAATTAAATCAACCGATGTTCACAATTGCAGCTTCGTGTGTCTTCCTGGACACGTGGTACGTTTTAGACCAATAGGAAGCAGAGGAACTGAAACTGCAAATAAACTAATCTTCATTCACATAGACGTCACAAAATATATATTAACTCTATATGTGCATGTATTTAGTCTTTCGGTTGACGTTATGAAGTAGAGAAAAGTTGTGATGTTGAGGAAAATAATGTTTTTTAACGATCCTGATTCACAACAAACGGAGCTCTTCCAGCGGCCTCTAGTGGAGAGGACGGCTAACGACACACTTCATGTTCATGCTCAACACAAACCAACCAGTCAGTAAATACAATGTTAACTAACCAGCTGGTTACCGTGGGAGGTCTAACTCAATACATTCAACATGCCTGGATTAACTCTGTCTTATAAACAAAGAAAAGCAGTTGCAAATAAATAGCTGTCACGAGTCCCACAACCTCAACATGAGCACCAACCGTGTCACATATGACGGTACAAATAACGTTAATTAAGGACGTTGGAGGGCCTACACACCTCTATTACTCACATACACCTGACTAAGGTAAAGGTGATACAGTGAGCCGGTAAGTCAAAAAAGGTTACCTGGTTGCTAATATATTAGCCTGCTCATTTAATATGCTGAAAAAACAGGTGCGGTCACCTGCCGTAGACGTGAACCAGTCATGACAAAGTCAGTAACCACCACGGCACATTAAACCACTATTAGTGAGTAATGTAACCTTCTTGTACCACCCTGGAAATATCTCAGGTACAGGCACGAGTCAGTTCACCAAAACAAAACTGATAAATTCAGCGTGAAAAACTCAGCGACGCTAAGTTTAGCATGCTAGCTAGCTAGCTAGCTAACGCTGCTAATGTGCTGCGTCACACTCAAGACAGTCTACAAAAGTGTGTCTTCTCAGTAACAGTTATTTAAATGGGTAACACGACAGTTTAGCTACCTAACAGAAATGTTGGGTTTATTAGTAAAAGTTGAACTTACTAACAGCTGTCGTCCACTCCGTTAATTAGTTCGCCTGAGACGGACGGCAGCGAACACTCACCTGCGTTCGTGCAGAAGGAACAAAATGGCGCAGTCCTCCTGAGCTTGACCTCATCGTTCAAACGTCGACGGTGAAACTGAATCCACACAAACTTAAAAGACACCTGGCAGCCCGCAAAACACATTAAAACCTCAACTAAAAACAGCTCATACCGTTTCAGTTGGTAAGCTTGGATGGAAAAAGGTAAAGTGGAGTCCCACCTGCTTAAAAATCACAACTGAACGGACATCCTGGCATTTTTTCAACAAAACCTTATTTTCCTTTTTTTTTTTTTTTAAACACAAAGTAATCAGCAGAATTTAAGGATTTTTATAAAGTGATTTAGTTGCCGAGTATAAATAAACCGTCGTGAAGTTTAAGGTTAGTTTAATATAAATTAATAAAACAAGCCATAATAGAGTGATTAAACATGTTGGTTGTGATAATTACAGTAACAATACTAATGATAAGTACAATTAAATTGTTGTTCTGCAGCACGTTGAAGGCCAGTTTGCTGTCACTGTGGTCACTTCTTTAATCCTCAGCTGAATTTTTCCAGATTTCTGGATGTGACCAGAGAAGGCAGCATCTTTTTATTTTGTTTTTTAATGATGTGTGAGAAGCAGTGAAGCGGTTTTAGTAGTTCTGTATTACAGGTAAAACCGTTAAAAAGAATTTGTCTTGCAGCTGAGTTCTGGATGAAATGTAATTGTACTGATGTTGCAGAAAGACGTAAAAGTTAGAAACATGTCTGCCTGCATAGCTGTGATGTGACCGTCTGTCTTTTGAATATCAGTGGTTCACCAGCTACACCTGCACAGTTTCCCAAGTCATTTACCTGTTAGGTTGTTCAGCATCTCGGTGAACTTACCACAGTTCTTCGGTGGATTCAGTCTGTCTCAGTGTCTTCTGTCTCTTCATGTGATCCCAGACTGACTCCATGATGTTCAGATCTGATCTGACCACATGTTGCAGGACCCTTTGTTGTTTAGATATCACATGAGTTTCTTTAAAAAATTCTAAAAATATTTCCCCAAACTTTATACACAAGTGGCGTTCATGTCTTTTATTCAGACCAGAACAGCTAAACTACATTCATCATCAAACCGTTTTCTTTATACTGCAGCTGCATGTAACTCATTTCTCTCGCAAAGAGTTTTCTGTTCTTCTAAATACGTATTTATCTGACGACAATACAGCAGTCACTGCAAAAACACAGCCCACATTAAACAATGGCTGCAGTGTAAACAACACAGGTTTCCTTTATCATTCATTAACAGTAAATTAAGAAGATGTGCTTGGCCCTGTTTCAGCTGTAGAAACAAATCCTGAGAAAACTTTAAGATGTCAGAGGTCATAGTGATGCTCCATCAGATCACAAGTTCAGTCTTTGGAGCTGAAGGGAAAACAATCCTCCACTTGTCTTTGATTGAATCCCAGCTCCACTTCTGTATTTCACATCCACATGTTTTCTCCGTCTCCATCTCAGTCTGTTATAAAACCACATTCTGTCCATCTGGTGGAGAATCCTTCGTGACAGACTTCTGGTGTTACATAATTTTGTTTTTGTCAGGAAGACAACGGCTCCTTGTTCCTCTGTTTGCTGTTAAACTGATAACATTTCCATAATCAGCTCCTTGAAGGCAAATAAAACAGTTTAACTGTCTCCAAGCAGACGCTGCAAACTGACGCTCCCACAAAACATGAATTATTGTTTGTTACAGGACAAAGTTTGTTCCAACTTAGTTTACGGCCACCACAAAGTAAATCATAAATTGAGAGTTCTCTGTGTAATACAATTAACGCCTGTCTATTCTCCATTGTCTTTTATAATTGTATTTCATCTTTTACATGTTTTTAAAGCATTTTAAATAACTCTGTGTATTATAACATGCGATAAAAAGAACCTTCCTTGCGTCAGTTCTTTGAGCAGAGCTTCCTTCCACACTGTTGGTGGTGCACTTTATCATTTACTATTATTTTGTAGCATTTTCTTGTTTTTATTTCTACTACATTATAATTTATATTTGCACATTTCTTACTGAACTTGAAAATATGGCTGCTGGTTAATGTCGCTGTACACTGTGCAATTACAATAAAGGAATTCTATCTGGTGTTTGGTATCATTCATATCGTGACACTCGGGACTATTTGTTTGGAACAATTTACTCTATAGTGGAAATATTCAGGTAAACATTCAGCTCTGTTATTTCGTTTTTTTTAAAGCCCATGTAACTATGAAACAAATAACCCCCCTACCTGGAGTCTAATTTAACTCAAACGCTGATGAATTTATATTTTAGGCCTTTTTTATCTGTTAAATGAACCTCTTGAAGCAAACACAGTGTAAAAGAGCAAAGAGCTTCTGCAAAGCGCTGCTGTTTAGAGCGACAGTTTAGAGGCTATAATGACTAGTCTAATAAATGAAGGAGGGAACTTTTCCTTCTTTAAACATGGATTACCTTTTATTATTAATAGGACAAACAATCCGGATGATCTTTCCATCAACAGCGTAGACACCAACATGCTGTCTCCAACTGAAGAAAAAAAAAGAGAGAGAGAAAAATCCTTAATTCTTTTGAATCATAGCCAAAAGGACAAAAAGCAAATATGTTGGTAGAATCTCAGCCATTCTCTGAGAGGTCTGACTTATTGGCTGGTACCTGAACACACCATTTACAAACAAAACAGTTCAAAGAGTGAAATCCCATTTAAATGGATGAAAAGGGTGAATTTCCAAGATATGAGGGATTCACAGGGCTTGAGGATGTTTGTCTTGGTCCGAGTTTACATTCTGACGGAACATGTTTACTAATTGAGCACAATCAAATGTCTACAATTTATAGAAATATAAGAAAAAGCTGGGAAACTTTTTCCAGCAACAGTAGACAGTTAAGCCTCCTGATTGGTTTCACTGGTGAGTGGGGATTGGGGCAAGTAGTAGTGCAAATGGTAGATGAAATGATTGGATGAAATTCTACAGTTTCTACAGTGGAAAAGTAAAGTTAGAATCAATGTTCAAGTAAAGTTAGTTCACCAAAATAAGATGTTTGCAAGCTAGAGTCATTTAAACAGGATGTCACCAACATATGACATTTGCAAGCAAGGATCAATAGTTTATGAAGGCCCTTATGAATTTTGAGAGGCTGATTATAATCAATTCAATTAGTTCTAAATAAAGAAAGCTAATGTGTTTCTATTCCTGTGTGTGCTAAATCATCTAATATAGGCACATGTTGTTTATTTTAATATACAATTTGAGGTGTATTAACTCTTTATCTTTTTTTTACAATCCACAGACTGGCATGCAGATACCAGCTCTTTGCCATTATCTGTTCATGGTGGAGTATTCCACTCATCAGGCGGTAGGTGTGATGTGGCATCTTCAAAACAAATGTTTCAAAGACATTTTTGCTACATGATTGACCTCTGTTTTTTAAAATGCATTGAAGTTTTAATATCCAACGGTGATCAATCCTCCTGCCTCATGTCTTACACTCGGTACACACATCACACTCCATCCTTTCCTAGGATGATGTAAATATTGCACCTGTGTTTTTGCTATTGTACCCTGTTGTCATGGACAATTACTGTCATAATTTTTAATTGGCTTTTTCATACATGTTTTGGACTGGTTATCTATGCTGTTTTACTTCATGTGTTCCTGTTGCTTGATACTTGAATATGTGTACAAATACTGCGTGCGACTGAAAAACAAATGTATTGAAAATTTAAAAATGTTCTGATGCTGATGAAAACTAAATAAAAAGTTGCATTTTATAAAGTATGCTTGTGTGATAATGCTTTGTCTTCTTCCGAGTGCTGTTTATTTACACTCATCACTCATGTCTTTTTAAAGGCCCTTATGATTAGTGGGAGGCTGATTAAAGCCACTATAATGTTTCTATTGCTATATGAGCAAAACAATTGGATATTATTCAACTATAGCCATATGTCTTTACCTGGCAAGTAACATGACTGTCCACATCTGTGTCTATTTTAATTAACACCCCCATTGTTGCATTCATCAATTGATACTCCACAACTCACTGTTAGTGTAGCACTGACCTCTTTAATAAATAAAAAAAAACTGAGGAACATATGAAAAACACAGCACTACAGTGTCGACAAAGTAGTCTTTGAACATGATCAAGAATGATAGTTCATGAAAATAAAAACTATTTACAATTTGTCAATGAGATGCAACTATTTACAGATCCAGATTCGGTCCTCCAGATCACCTCACTGAAAAAATAAATTATACAACACAAGTCGTCATTGAACTACATCAATAAAAACTCACACTAATGAAAACTATTTACAATATATACAATACAACCACAACTTATTTACAGATAAATTCCAGCATTTTAACAGGTTATTGCTCCAAATTGTCGACAACAGAGGTAAAGTGCTCATAGCTACTGTACACTCTGTTGTCCAGACCTTTG